TGGCACCGATAGCAAATTCTTCTTCATGTTCGGCACGTAAAGCACGTTGTTGATCTCGATCTCGCGCTCGTCGCCGTTGGGCAGAACCACTCGCTCGATGATGGTTCCGACACCCTTGATGGCGACCTTAGCGCCGTCGGCCACCTTCAGTTCGCCTTCATCTCGCTCGTTCAGCGTGTCGAACTTGGCCTTGTTGTTGCAGATGTGGTGCGTCGCACCGCTGTCGACTGCCCACATGCCGGACACATCCTTGCCCGTCGAAAGTCCGCATTCCAGCGAAACCGCAAACGCCACGCGATCGTAGCCGTAGTCGTAGTCGTCGTTTCGCCACTGGACATTGTTGGCCCCGCGTCCACGACCATTGCCGCCGCGTCGGCCTCCCCGATTCTCATCCTTCTGCTTGGTCCAGCACTTGTCGATCACGTGCCCCAATTTTCCGCAGTAAGTACACTGGCGAGACTCTCTCTCGGTACTGAACGCCTTCGCCGCGTCTTCAGTCTTCACCGCCGGAGTCTTCTCGCCTTGCCGCTTGATATGCTCGTTCGTGAGCACCTTCACAACGTCTTGCGTCTTCAGCTCTGCGCTGCTCATCTCCAAGTTCAGCACGACGTTCTCGTAGCTCTTGGGGAGACTGCGCAACAAGCAGATCGCCACGTCTTCATCCTCCATCTTGGCGCCGATGCTGCTGAGCTTGGCGCTGATGTTGAGGACCTCGTTGCAGTGATGCAACACATTCGCGCCTTCAGACATCTCCATGCTGAAGAGCTGTCGCTTCAAGTAGATGCGACCAGCCTTCTGCGATCCTCCGTACAGCGTCTTCAAGCGCGTCCACGCGGTCCACGCTTCCTCGCAGTTGTCGACCACATGGTGGTAGTCCGCGTCCATGTGGAGCAGCATCAGACCGAACGCGATGTTGCTCGACTTGACATACTCGTCCCTGGCGCGAGAGTCCGTGAAGCTTGGAGTCGTCTCCCGGTTCACGACATGCCACACCGACTTGGTCAGGAACACACCACGCATGTAGCGGTTCCACGTCGCGTAGTTGTCGCCGTTGAACTTGTCGATGGA